GATGTCTCGAATATGTTTCTCATTACCTGAATAAAAGTATCCTTTATGCGTTGTATATGTAATAATAACAAATATTTCTCATTTGGTACACATTGTGCCAACCACACATCTCCAAGACCCAACGTACACAAATCACGTCTCAGATGATAAACCCAATTTGCTTTACAATTTGGTTTCCTGTTATAAAGCTCTAAAAGTTTATCGTAACAGGCCCTCAAAATACAGTTACCAGTCTTTAATATTTGCAGCCATTACTTAACAATAGCAATCCTACGCTGTATATGCAAAGGGTAACAACCAAGTTCAAAATACACCATGGCATTATTTACTGTTTTCCTGACACCCAATAAGGTTTTCAAAAATAATAAATGTATATTTTCAATCTGCGGTGCAAGACTATAACCCCATACTTCACACCCGTAATTCACAATACATGAAATATAAGTATCAAATAAAGATAACTTGGTCTTTTCATTCAACAAAAATATTTTCGCTTTCCGATTAAGAAGAAAATAAGCTTTCCTTCCTTGTACAGCAATGTTATTCAATGAAATGATAAATTTACCATTATATCTAAATTGATACTTATACGATGTTACATACTAATAATGGGAGCTGGTTCTGTATAATCTAAGATGAAATAAATTTGCATTAGGTCTATACATGTAATTCGGCATGCTATTATTTTTAATACTATCTGAAATTATAAGTGTATACACATGTAGCCAGTAGTTTTATTCGTATTGTGGTAAATTACCATCAAACTAATTAATTAGAAAAGATAAATAAAATACTGAATCAAATTAACGATGTGATATATCACATTAAGATCTGTATGTCTGTCTGAGGGGAGAAGATCTGTATGTCTGTCTTAGGGGAGAAGATCTGTATGTCTGTCTGATTGGAGAAGATCTGTATGTCTGTCTGATTGGAGAAGATATGTATGTCTCTCTGAGGGGAGAAGATCTGTATGTCTGTCTGAGGGGAGAATATCTGTATGTATGTCTGAGGGGAAAAGATATGTTTGTCTGTCTGATGGGAGAAGATCTGTATGTCTGTCTGAGGGGGGAAGATATGTATGTATGTCTGAGGGGAGAAGATCTGTATGTCTGTCTGAAGGGAGAAGATCTGTATGTCTGTCTGAGGGGAGAAGATATGTATGTCTGTCTGAGGGGAGAAGATCTGTTTGTCTGTCTGAAGGGAGAAGATCTGTATGTCTGTCTGAGGGGAGAAGATATGTATGTCTGTCTGAGGGGAGAAGATCTGTATGTATGTCTGAGGGAAGAAGATCTGTATGTCTGTCTGAGGGGAGAATATCTGTTTGTCTGTCTGAGGGGAGAAGAGAACCACATTCCTCGCCCTTATCTCACCCCCTTTACAGTACCAACCTAGTCAAGTATCAAATAGACATATCTGTTGATGTTTGTACTTCAGCTTCAAATGTCTCTCGATTTAGTTTTATTGTAAGTTTTAAAAGTAAGGTTTAAATAAAATACCTTGAATTGTAATTTAACAGAACCATAATATTTATTAAGAATCAGTATTATTTAAGGAATGATTTTTATTTTTTCAACATTTATGAGGTCATAACAACAATGGGTTTATGGACATATTGAATGAATCGCGTTAGCGATTCATGTAAAATATGTCCAAAAACCCATTGTTATTATGACCTCATAAATGTTGAAAAAATAAATATCATTCCTTATATTTACATTGACGAATCCTTTCAGTGGATCGATATAACAACGAATAAAACAAATAAACAGGGATTGTTCCTGCTTATACACGGGTGCAACGCAATGGCGAGAACAGTGTTTTTTCGCGGGGAAATGTGACACTATCGTGCGAGATCTTAGCAACCGTCAACAACAATAACACAACAAAATGTAGTTCCATATTCAATGTTTATTTGTAGCACAGGACACGTGAATACGTGGATATTTCACAAAGCACTGTTCAATAATATTTTAAGATGTAAGAATTAAGCATCTAGGTCGGTCGTTCCGAGTGAGTAGTTTTTGTAGTGTATTACTACGCAGTGTGATCAGGTTACTATCAGTTCCCACGGGCTGAGATTCTATGAACACCTGTGTTATGCATTTATGAATGTAATTTTTGTCAATGGGTCTAAGCATACAGAATGTAAATATATATATATATATTTGCTTGTCAAAGGAATAATATCACATTTACTCGCCAGATAACACTGGAACCTTACAAACGTTTATTTTTTGGATACAAATTACTTAAAATCGGTATATAAGGCAAGAAAGTAATTCCAAAAGTGTACACAGTATAACGGTGCCAAGAGTCCGGAGCAACCGCTCCTTTATCGACACATATAATGATGTAATCAGGGTAAAGACTTTTCAAAGAATCAACTATGTGATAGCTATACTGTCAGAGCAATGATTTATTAGAATCATCGGTATGATGGTTTTATATGTACGGTACAGTTTTATTAGAATCATTGGTATGATGGTTTTATATGATCGATTATGTTTTATTTGGATTCGTCGGTATGATTGCTTTATATTATTGGTATGCTTTTTTATATGCATGGTAATATCTTATTACGAATCATCGCTATACAGAGTGTATTAGATGTATATAATGTTTTATTAGGAATCATCGGTATGATGGTTTTATATGTACGGTACAGTTTATTAGGAATCATCGGTATGATGGTTTTATATGTACGGTGCAGTTTATTAGGAATCATCGGTATGATGGTTTTACATGTACGGTACAGTTTTATTAGGAATCATCGATATGATGGTTTTATAAGTACGGTACAGTTTTATTAGGAATCATCGGTATGATGGTTTTATATGTACGGTACAGTTGTATTAGGAATCATCGGTATGATGGATTTATATGTACGGTACAGTTTTATGAGGAATCATCGGTATGATGGTTTTATATGTACGGTACAGTTTTATTAGAATCATTGGTATGATGGTTTTATATGATCGATTATGTTTTATTTGGATTCGTCGGTATGATTGCTTTATATTATTGGTATGCTTTTTTATATGCATGGTAATATCTTATTACGAATCATCGCTATACAGAGTGTATTAGATGTATATAATGTTTTATTAGGAATCATCGGTATGATGGTTTTATATGTACGGTACAGTTTTATTAGGAATCATCGGTATGATGGTTTTATATGTGCGGTACAGGTTTATTGGGAATCATCGGTATGATGGTTTTATATGTACGGTACAGTTTTATTAGGAATCAGCGGTATGATGGTTTTATATGTACGGTACAGTTTTATTAGAATCATTGGTATGATGGTTTTATATGATCGATTATGTTTTATTTGGATTTGTCGGTATGATTGCTTTATATTATTGGTATGCTTTTTTATATGCATGGTAATATCTTATTAGGAATCATCGCTATACAGAGTGTATTAGATGTATATAATGTTTTATTAGGAATCATCGGTATGATGTTTTTATATGTACGGTACAGTTTTATTAGGAATCTTCGGTATGATGGTTTTATATTTTATATGAAACATATGTACGGTAAAGTTTCACTAAGAATCAACGATATCGATAGTATATAATCACGGTTATATTCTGTATATCAAATCAACAGAGTGATAGCTATACAACCACTTCCGTGGGTTACACAAATTTAGATAGATATATAGTCAGGGTTATATCGTGAAAGCTCCATTACGTAGTATATTTCAAAAATATATTATATTAACAATTGTGATAATATTTATATTAGCAAATAAATCGAAATAATCTTAACAATCGTTTTGAATCTGAGAATAAAATTGCTAGGTTTTAAATGTTAAAACTAAACACAATTTAGTGATCATGCAAATGTTCACATTTCATTACAAAAGTGTAAAACTGTTACTCTCGCGGCAGTTTTTTTTATATAATTTTTACGATCACAGATGAAGATAACAATCTCTTTATTTCTTCAATCATAAAAGAAACTATCCAATATGTGTGTACCGAAGTAGATCGTACTGTTTAATTTCTATCTAATGTATCATTTTGTCTGGTGAACATCTTACACACTTTTTATTTTTCTGTTTCAAAGCCACCCCAGATCGATGATAACACTGGTCTCGTGCCAGTGGTGTGCTTACCGTAAAAAATAAGAAAAGGGGGGGGGGGGGGGGGGGGGGGAGGAACAGATATATTTGAGTTTAATGTAGTGTATGCGTAACTTTAGGAAAACGATACATTTTAATTGACCCGCCGATTTAACGCTGAACAATGTGAAACCAGCGGCTTGACATCAGATAGGCTATCTCTGGCGTCTTCCAGGGGAACAGTGTGACGAACTTAACTAATTTTATTATCTATCAATTCAATGAATTAAATATAGTCTTGTAACAAAACAAGAACACGATTGATTATAAATTATATCTCTTTTGAAGTTACCGTTTTATTTGTTTAATGCACAAAAATTGACAAAGACTGGTGTGGTTTGCCCATCTGTTAATATTTGTCGGCGATGTCTTTGTGGAATATCCAGTTTGGGCTAAGTGTGATACCTAAATTTACTTGTGCTGTTATCTTTAAACAAACACGGCGTCAGTTGTTTTAGTTAATCACGGTACGGCTCGTGTGGATCATTGACAGAGGTGTTTGTAAATTTTTCACAAGTTTACGTGAGGCGAGAGCGCCGACTTTAATCTTCAAGTGACTAATCTCGTCTTGACGGGTAAAGCAAGAGTAGGGGCCCTTAGGTTAAAAACTAAAAATCACAACCCGTGTTTTCATAGTTCAATTTTTCTCCTTTCTAGTGTAAACAGTAGCGCGTGCGCACGTGACCCGAAGCATTGAGACGTCAATGCTGATTGGCTGGTCCCGATGTAATACCGCCCATTATTCAGGTGGCTCATTGTCATGTCAATAGCGAGTGAATGGAGTGTCGCGTGACAGGGCTTTGACTGACAGAGGGTATAAAAACGATACCCTGGGTCATGTGTTCACACTAACGACCCGATACAACACACTACTACACAACTTTGACGGTCAGTCGTCAATTTAATCTTGACCACAACACTTGGATCTGTTTAAGCGATGTCGACTCAGACCACCCTCCTCCTGCTATCGTCTACGGCCAGTAACAGCAGTTACGGGAGCCCAGCAGAATCCTCCTTCTCATCCTCCTGCTCATCCATGTCATCTCCAGATAACGGCGATCATCACGATGATGACATGGAGATGAAGAGTGTAAACGAAAACCCTGTCAATACATCATCGTCGAAACGAAGGCCGAAAGACAATGATTCCGTTTCTTCCTCGCCTAAAAAGAAACGTTATAACAAACCGAGACAGAGAGAAAGAAGCCCCGCTCTCGTCGCCAAAATTAGGAAAACTCGTCGGTCTAAGGCAAACGACAGAGAGAGGTCGAGAATGCATGGATTAAACGATGCACTTGAAGTGTTACGAGAAGTCCTTCCAGCTTCTGATGGTGAAAACAAACTGACAAAGATCGAAACACTGAGAATGGCTTACAATTATATATGGGTTTTGTCTCAAACTCTTGAAGGTGTGGCTAAACTTCCTGCAAACGGACTCGCCAAAGATGTTACTAGTGCTGTTCATGTGAAGAGGGAATTGGACTTTAATACAAATAGTGCTTGTTCCTCGGACAATGACCAACTGTCTCCTACCCCGGCCCGTATAGTATCTCCAGCCTCAGTAGCTTGCTCTGAGCCAGACTCACAGGTTATATCACCTCCTCACCAGTCATCTCATTACCATTCTCATCTCCCTCATCACCCAGCAACCCTTCAGCATCAGCAGCCCACGGCAGGTTTTCATCACTTTAGAATCGCGCCAGCAGTGTCCACACCTAGTGTCCAGTTTCAGCCTCTCCTCCCAGCCTCTGAAGCTATGACGTCATACGTGTCGAATTCTTCGCCTGTTCCCCATGTTTCCCCTCCGCATTGCCGGACGGACATGCATCCCAACTTTGTGATAGGACAGACGCATCATTCCGACTGGAGTAGCGTGTATTCCGGATTTTCAGCCATGAAGGAGTGCGGCTTGTTAAGGTCTGGGCTAAACAGTCCCACGGAACATTCGGATACTTCCGAGGGATACTCGTTTGAAATGTTTTGAAACTGAACTAAAGTAATGTTTCGTTATTATGAAAACCATCAAAAGCTATGTGATATCATTATGGTGTGCGACTATTTCAGTAGCAGGCAAGTAAAAAGTATCTAGTGATAAATTGTGATATGATTCCAATTGATGTAACAGACTTTCTTTATATCCACAATGTGCCTTTTAACAAATCAGCAAATGAATACGAGTTTGATATTGTTATCGTTGATGTTTCTATGCAGGATTTGTAAGCTATAATGTAAGTTTATAACATTCAAGTAATCCAAAAGATTTTATATAATGCTCTTGTAAAATCGAGATTATTCCGAACGTTTAGTCTGAGAATCGCGTCCCCAGCTGTGTTTTGGCTAACGGTGTATAATCGTGTTACTGTCTAACGCTCGACAGAAGTAAAGATGGCAATTGTAATTATTTATTGATGTGGCAGCAATTCAATTAATTGATGTTACCTACATGGTCCCTGTAATGTGGTCAGTTGACGGGTCACCTCTCAACCATCGGTTTGACATCATACATTCCATGAGATTAGTTGACGCGAGGATAGATATAGTTTTGTATGTATTTACGGAAGCACACTCCAGTGCCAGTATAAAACGACATCAAGTGTAAGGAGAGCGTGACTTGTCTACAAGTTTGTTTACATTTAAGATTATTAGCGAACTTTTGTATATTTATAGATATGATTTATAGGTGAAACAAAATAAATTATTTGTATATTTATTACCCTACACCTTTGTTCTAGTTCTCACTGTCTGTTTGTACCGTAAAAGAACGCCACTGTATCTGTAGCCCCGTAGGACGCTATACATTGTACGCGGAAATATTAAAATGGACACTTTATTTCTATTAATTGGACTTGTTCATAATTTGAAAAGAAATAAATTTGAAATTTGTTTTGTTAAATTAAACGGAATCGAGTGAATAAGATAATAGTGTCCTTTTAATGGCCGGGATAGGAGTACTGTTGATGTATAGTGACAGAACGTGAGAACGACATTTCTTGATGTCGGACTCGCATGGGGCTACGATAACGTGGATGTTGATTTACTACCTGTTCCGGAGCTGTTTGTACTCTCACTCTCCGTTGTGTTGTCAGTTGCATTCTATTGCAAGAAACACTGGTGATTAGTTACACAGCAAGGGGCTGATCATATTCCATTCTCTTTCACAATTGGCTGATTAAAATGTTTTAAGCACGTGAGCGCGTGGCGCGCACGAGTGGTCAGCCCCGTAGATGATATGCGAGGTGGACACGTTAGGGGGCGGCATTCATTTGACGTTTTGTTGTAAATGATGACTATAGAATTTAGGACAGGATCTGGAAAGAGAAAAGGAACCGAAGTAGATAATAGGGAATCAAACCGGAGGGTCAGCTGGTCAGGACACTGGTCATTGTATAAAACAGTGACCACAGCACGGACACAATGATCAAGCGTCATTGTCGCACTCTACTCTTTGTATGAACTAACGACCCCATAGTTACGGACTGGACATAAAAGAGATGTAATTTATTGAGACAGAACAACATAGACCTGTCTCTCAGCCTTCAAGAAGTGGTAACATTCTGATTTTTGAATAGGTTTTTCATTTTTCTGACTTAAGACTTGGTTGAAATAGGACTTGGTTTTAGGCTAATTCCTTATGCCACTTTCACCTGTGTATGTGAACCCTCCCTAATTTATGTCCAGTTTGCCATTACATCTGGTCGATGATACATTGTAGTTTAGAAGGTCTAAGGACTCGCTGTTGGGGGTAGATCTCAGAAATATAAAGTCAGAAAATTAATCGTTAGTTTGGAACCACCCCCTAAAGACTTTGCGGTAATTTAAAATCACATTTCCCTGTGTGGATGATTTATGTTGTTCATGATAACAATTGAGAAGGAGGCTGATGGCTTATTGGGCAAGATAGCCAACACATGCATCATATCATACATTTACACCTACTACTTGTGTAGGCTATACATATCAATCTCCAAATATCGTAACTCATAATTTAATGTGCCTTATATTATGCCAAACTCATCTTGTAGATGAAATAATAAAAAAAATCCGTGTGTCAAGGTTTAAGCGTTTGTGTTATGTCTCAAACTGTAATAATGCTATCAGCTTGTAGTATAATTAAGGGCCATACAGGCTGACAATAAAACACACTTTGACCACCGCTAGGGGTCATTAGATGACTACTGTAGATACGGAATGACCACTGTCCGTGTTTTGACACTTCAGGCCAATCACGGTGTTAATTTCTCGCTTGTTACTGTTTGAATGCTCCTCCAGTGATGTAAATGTTTACACTCGGTGAAGTGTCGCGTGACTCTAGGCTAAATGTTACTGTGATAAAATCAAGAGATAAAGCTAGGGAAGCCAATCCATGTTGAATTACGTAATTTTGTATGTTGGCCGAAAGGAGAAAATATTACATTGTAGTTAACTGATCTGTCCTATTAAGATTTCAAATATCGTCTAGAGTTTTTATGTTAGAGACGGTTATACATAAACAAAAATTGCAAGTCTAGATTTATAGATCGTCTATAGTTTTATGTTCATCACGGTAATATATATCATGCCAAATACAATCCTGGAATTTGAAAATTATTTGGAATAAATGTATATAAACCCAGAAAAAGCAACACCTTTCACAATTTTTAATTCCATTTTGAACGACATGTTGTATAAAGATAAATAAAATCCGGTATATAACGTTCACGTAATAAGCAATAAAAATTAAGTTTATAAAGTTAATTTTACACCAACACGGTAATTTTCCGGGTAAAATACAAATCTTACTCAGGCCAGCGCTGTTTGGTGTGCTCTCTAGGCCGTGACTGTAGGAAAGAGGCCATCATTACTCGCTTCAGTGGCTACACCCGCCCATCGAAAGTGATTGACGGCCGGCACGCGTCAGGCCGACGGCGACACGTGTCGTATACAAACACGTACTTGTACAACCGTGAAGGAACAGAATCCACTTAATATTAGTTGACGACATCAGTAATCTCTCCATCATTACAATAGTAACTATATAAATACAATCATTGTAATGTGTTATTCTTCTTACGAACCTGTTGCAGAAGTTATGTGTACAATATATTGAATTAAAATACTGTACAAGACGTGCTAACATGCTTTATTATAAAGTAACAGATTTGAGACAACTCGGCTTAACTTTTAGCGGGGGATATGGCAAGCCAATTAAACATGTACTAAAGGAGCGATTTCGATAATGTACTTAATAGATCATTAAGATCTCCTGTTTGTTTATAAGGTATCTTATGTAAGTTTTACGACATATCAAAGATAAAAGATGTCACATATTTTTGAAGATCTTTTCTGTGTTATTTATTTAGATATTTTATAAGATATCATATCTTTTATGAGATAGCTGATATCGTAAAGATATATACATACAGAAAATAGTTTTGTGTGGTTGTGGTAACATGACTTGAAATAGGCCAGGTCGGTAGGGTATTTTTGAGAGCGGGTGGGGGCTAATTAAAGAAATTACACATTTCACCAAATATAGTTATTCAGATCAATTGAATTCATGTTTTTCCCCCATTATTTTTAGGTCTTTTTAATATTAATATGGGATTTAATTTTTGATACCTGCTTCTGGAATAGAAAGGTGTCATATAGACGCTTACGATTTTCGGCACGTTTCAATGGGACGATTAGGTGCATTCGAGTGAGGTAACATTGTAAGGGTCCGAGGTGTAAATAACGAGGGTTGGACGGGGGACATGAAACATACATTTATTTGCCTTACAAACATAAAATTTGAAAGTCTAACACAAACAAGTGTAAATAGTTTCAGCCTGAAATCTAACGACAAGGCTTTGATTATTTTTCCCGACATTTTCTTTCAGTCAGTATTATTTTCAACGTTAAGTTTCGGTCTTTTTAAGTACCCCTACTAGCAAATCTGTAAAAGATGTCTGATAAAGGAGCTTTTATAAGATAAACATTTTTCAAATATTGTATAAATTTTACATGAATTCTATGTAAGATATCACATTAAACATATATAATGTCTTATATAGAAGAGTTTAGAACATACCTTGTGAAGTAATTAAGATCTTTTAAATGTTTCTCTAGGAACGCTGTCGACGTGTATTTCAGGTTGCACTTAAAGTTGGCTTGCCATAGGGAGAGGGGAGGTAACCCCTGTTTAAAGGAGCTGCCTTATTCATTATTTTTACGATTTCGCTGAATATGTTCGAACTTTGCAGAATCATTTTTTATGCTCATTAACTGCAAAATTTCTATGTTCCTTTCCAGTTATTAAGAAGAGATGTTTGTCTTCATCAATCGTGAACAAACATTTCTACTGATATTACGATTTGTATATTTATGAAGACATTTTTATCTTTCTTAGAATGTAATGAACCCCTAAGAAAATAACGAAAATGACGATCTCTTTTGCTTGATTTTCAATTCATAATGAGAGGAAGAGAGAGATGGAGGGTACGAGAGAGATGGAGGGAACGAGAATGGAGGGTACGAGAGAGATGGAGGGAACGAGAATGGAGGGTACGAGAGAGATGGAGGGAACGAGAATGGAGGGTACGAGAGAGATGGAGGGAACGAGAATGGAGGGTACGAGAGAGATGGAGGGAACGAGAATGGAGGGTACGAGAGAGATGGAGGGAACGAGAATGGAGGGTACGAGAGAGATGGAGGGAACGAGAATGGAGGGTACGAGAGAGATGGAGGGAACGAGAATGGAGGGTACGAGAGAGATGGAGGGAACGAGAATGGAGGGTACGAGAGAGATGGAGGGAACGAGAATGGAGGGTACGAGAGAGATGGAGGGAACGAGAATGGAGGGTACGAGAGAGATGGAGGGAACGAGAATGGAGGGTACGAGAGAGATGGAGGGTACGAGAGAGATGGAGGGTACGAGAGAGATGGAGGGAACGAGAGAGATGGAGGGAACGAGAATGGAGGGTACGAGAGAGATGGAGGGTACGAGAGAGATGGAGGGAACGAGAATGGAGGGTACGAGAGAGATGGAGGGTACGAGAGAGATGGAGGGAACGAGAATGGAGGGTACGAGAGAGATGGAGGGTACGAGAGAGATGGAGGGAACGAGAATGGAGCGTACGAGAGAGATGGAGGGTACGAGAGAGATGGAGGGTACGAGAGAGATGGAGGGAACGAGAATGGAGGGTACGAGAGAGATGGAGGGTACGAGAGAGATGGAGCGTACGAGAGAGATGGAGGGTACGAGAGAGATGGAGGTACGAGAGAGATTATGGGACAGGGCAAAGGGAGATAGTTTATAGTGATCAATGACCGCAATTCCTTTCGTTAAACCTACGATTTCTGAAACAAGCGATTTTCCTTTTTTTCGCTGCGGTTCTATATATCTTTACAGTTGTAATTAGTTTAAACACTATTTATTGTAGAATAAGGTAGTACAATAAATCAAAAGTAGGCAAGAGGATTAGGTAACAAGCTTAGAGCTTATGTAAAACCATCTCCTAATTAGTGATGGGCACAGATATATAAATTAGAGTGATCGTGGTTATACAGATCAAGGAATGCTGGTGTTAAACAATAATGATACTGAGTACTGATCCTGTTTTTCATAAGTGTATACAAAACGTACAACACTAATGGTACAATGCTATTATGTGCCATGTACACAGTATAGGTATAGACGAGGGTAAACGATTCTCATGTTATATCATTACACAAGTAGATAAATTTCGCAGTGGTAATTTAAAACTAAGCATTGAAACTGGTCGGTAGTCTCGCCCTAAAATAATTTAAGAAGATAGACTTTGTACATTTTGTAATTTAAACTGTATTGAAGAAGAATGTGTTTCTAATATTAAGTCTTACCTTTTTTTGTTTAATACATGTATCTATGAACTGATTTTTAGTATTGATAAATTACGTCGTATTAACGAATATCTATAGTGTGTCGTAATGAAGAAGCCTCAGTATAGGTTGGGTGTCAATCATATATTGTTGTACATTTTAGACCATGCTTGTATGTGTGTATTTTAAGCAAAATTGACATGTGACACTTTAATAAAATAATTTGTATTGTATTGTTGTATAAAAGATAAACCTAGTAAAGGTACATTGTAAGTACATTGTATTTTACGTAAGTATAAACGGCTAATCCTAGTAAAGGTAATTACATTGTAATCACGTAAGATTTGACTAAGCATATATAATTGATGTTTACATACAACACATACATATAGCATTAATCGTGTGTGACATGTTTAAGTACAGTAAGACATTTATAGAGTATAGGTACATGTAAGACTAAGGTAGATTCATCTCATGTTTCATAATTATATAGTATAACATACACTCTCACAGATACACATACATACAGACAGGCAGACAGGCAGACAGACAGACAGACAGACATTTTCCAATTAGAAATATGTAGTGGTATTATGACTTGATTACACAAAACGCTCACTTTTCATTATGAATTATTGTACAGCCAAAATAATGTCCTCGTTTTCTTGTACAGTAAGTTCTGGACTTCCCCAGAGTAAACAAGCAGTATTCAAATCATAAAACAATGCCCAGATGTATTGTTCTCTTAAATTTGTATACTTTTCACATGCAAATAAAAAATGGAAGTTGTCCTCAATGTAACCACATGTACAAAAGGATCATCACTAAGATTTTTCCCAAATAGATGTGCTATTAAACTACTGCATTGTAATCGGCGTCTGGTATGACAAATATGGGCTTCGCAGTTTCCATAGGAACGATAACTGGGCGATTTGTTTCTGTCTCTTAACAGTTGTTATTACTTTAAATAGATAATTTCAGTGATCAATATTAATCTTAGTGTTATAATAGTGTATACCCATCTCTCACATAGATACAAAAGTATGTAACTAACATACCCGTCCCCTAGTCTGTATTGAAATTATATATATATAATAGATGATAGCATAAATACAACCATACTCCAAAAACAGATGCGGTATCGAAAACGTTAGATGTTATAACGGACCTTTGTAATGAATTAGTCACTCCAAATCAGACAAAATCTGATTGCTAGACTAATTTTATACAGATGACAACCTTTTTATTGATATAATGCTTAAATTTCTCCTAATAATCTCTGTTAGAAATCGACAGTTGTTCCTTAATAATGTCTAAGAAATCATAATGAGCATAGAAAATATGTCCTGGGGAAATATTTCATTTTTTTTCATAAGTGAAAGAGACGTTTAATGTCTTTAACCTGGCTATATGTGATGTTAACTGTACTTATGCAGGGTAGGGAATGCCTGTAGCAGTAGTCGGGCAGGACAGGGTAGGATGTGGATTGTTTTCTTGTTTCTTTACGTTGTAACATCAAATGAGGACATCCAGCTGCTATTCCCACTTAACATTCTACAGAAAGCGGTTTAAATTGGTCAATTTTTCCTGATGTTGTTATCTGTAATTTGTAGCGTTTTGTCATTTATCGACACAATTGACTGATCACAAACGCCGTCATGACATGCTCCAGTAGCGCTATGGAAAACACTCATTCATAAAGTCCATGTACACTCATTAAAACCAGAGAATGCACGTGAAAATTGGAGATTAGATTCTAAATACGAAACAAAGTCATAACAGGATGAAAACAAGAATGAAAAATACCAAAGTGGGACATTAAATTGTGACTACTGCCTTCATAACATTCTTATTCTATAGCTGAAATATTAAAAATAGTTAATATTACATGATATTGTAGGCAGGATACTATTGAAAATCCTAAATCAGACATAAAATTGATTTATACAGGTGTGATCGTAATGACTAGACAGTTTTTCATGATACAGGAGAATAAAAGAAAGCGACAGTATCGAGAGGAAAAAGGAATAGAAAAAGAGTAAATAAAAGTATAGAAAGGAGAATACAAGAAACTAAAAGTATCGAAAGGAGAAAAGGGGAAATTAAAAGTATCGAGAGGAGAATAGAGTAAACTAAAAGTATCGAGAGGAGAAGAGAGGAAACTAAAAGTATCGAGAGGAGAAGAGAGTAAACTAAAAGTATCGAGAGGAGAATAGAGGGAACTAAAAGTATCGAGAGGAGAAGAGAGTAAACTAAAAGTATCGAGAGGAGAAGAGAGGAAACTAAAAGAATCGAGAGGAGAAGAGAGTATACTAAAAGTATCGAGAGGAGAAGAGAGGAAACTAAAAGTATCGAGAGGAGATTAGAGGAAACTAAAAGTATCGAGAGGGGAGTAGAGGAAACTAAAAGTATCGAGAGGAAAAGAGAGGAAACTAAAAGTATCGAGAGGAGAAGAGATGCACTAAAAGTATCGAGAGGAGAATAGAGGCAACTAAAAGTATCGAGAGGAAAAGAGAGTATACTAAAAGTATCGAGAGGAGAAGAGAGGAAACTAAAAACATCGAGAGGAGAAGAGAGGAAACTAAAAGTATCGAGAGGAGAAAAGAATAAACTAAAAGTATCGACAGGAGAATAGAGGAAACTAAATGTATCGAGACGAGAAGAGAATAAACTAAAAGTATAAAGAGTAGAATAGAGGAAACTAAAAGTATCGACAGGAGAAGAAAGTAAACTAAAAGTATCGAGAGGAGAAGAGAGGAAACTAAAAATATCGAAAGGAGAAGAGAATAAACTAAAAGTATCAAGAGTAGAATAGAGGAAACTAAAAATATCGAAAGGAGAAGAGAATAAACTAAAAGTATCAAGAGTAGAAAAGAGGGAACTAAAAGTATCGAGAGGAGAAGAGAATAAACTAAAAGTATCGAGAGGAGATTAGAGGAAACTAAAAGTATTGTTAAACTTTGTGTTGAAATGCGCGATAATGAAAATATATATTTGTGTCATTACTGTGGATCTATGCACAAAGATACTATTATGCATACACACAGAGCTATTACGTGACCAGCTCTGGTGTGTACTCAGTACTGTAAAAGATATAGATTTTGTGTTTAATCTTAATGTAATGTCTAATTACCATCTACTTCATGTTCTTCTTGGTGGTATTTTCAATTATGACTTATCTCCATATGAACTGGAGGACTTTAGAATAAAATCCATTGTCATTATTACTAAAATTCTTCAATACAGTGGTACAGAATTATGTAATTTATCCTTAGATATTTGAATGTTGTATACTGAGTAATATGATCACTAATTTACTTGTGTGTACCTCACGCTTCAGCAAGATTAATACATGAAATACATATATTTTTGTATTCATATTAGTAGGCAAGCATTTCCTACGTCTTTCCTGTTGATTAGTGCAACTTACTATCATTCATAATATTGTTTGTACTGTATGAATTAATCTTGTGATATGTATTACTACAACTGAAATCATTGCATGGTTGCGCTGTTTCTTCAAGTTAATTATTATATTGTATGTTGTGTATTTCACACCACTGTATGACTATATTGTATGACTTCGTGCAACGGGTTCTACTCAATGTATGATTGTATTGTAGGACTTATGTAACAGTAATACTGTCTATAATAATGCTGTATAATTTATAGTGTGATGCTTGTAATACTGTTTATTACAATGTTGTATGATTGCTTAGTACGAGAAGTGTATTACTGTCTATACTATTATATGATAATGTAGTTTGAGGAGTGTAAATTTATCTATTATATCAATGTGTGATGTAATGTATGATTAGAGTTATACTGTCTATCATCATAATTATCACCATAATTATCACCGTATAATGACTGTAATAGTACCTATTAAATCATTGTGTTGTGTTTATAGTACTTTATGAGAAGAGAGTAAACTAAAAGTATCGAGGGGAGGTGGAGTAAACTAAAAGTATTGAGAGGGGAAGAGAGTAAACTAAAAGTATCGAGAGGAGAATAAAGTAAACTAAAAGTAATGAGAGGGGAAGAGAGTAAACTAAAAGTATCGAGAGGTGAATAAAGTAAACTTAAAGTATTGAGAGGGGAAGAGAGTAATCTAAATGTATTGAGAGGAGAATAAAGTCAACTAAAAATATCGAGAGGAGAAGAGAGTAAACTAAAAATATCGAGAGGTGAATAAAGTAAACTAAAAGGATCGAGAGGAGAAGAGAGTAAACTAAAAATATCGAGAGGAGAAGAGAGTAAACTAAAAGTATCGAGAGGAGAAGAGAGGGAACTAAATGTATCGAGGGAAGAATAGAGGAAACTAAAAGTATCGAGAGGAGAATAGAGTAAACTAAAAGTATCGAGAGGAGAATAGAGGGAACTGAATGTATCGAGAGGAGAATAGAGGGAACTGAATGTATTGAGACGAGAATAGTGGAACCTAAAAGTATC